GAAAAAAGAGGAAAAAGAAAAAAACTCGAAAAAAACAGAGGAGGAGAGAGAGAGAAAGAAAGTTCGAAAGAAAAGAAGATAGAGGTGGAACGAAAATAAGATAGAAAGAGCTTATCTGAGAAAAAGGAAGAGCGAAAGAATTGATATCAGCTCTTTAGACAATCAGTGACTGATTGATTGGAAGCTAAGTAGGGAAAGAAACGCATTGTAACTGCGATGCATTAAGTATTCTTTAGTCGTGCACGTGGGGTGGCAAATTTTGGGGAATGCTGGTTGTGGGGGTGAATTGTGCGTCAAAATAAATAAAGCATTCAAATCAGCAATTGATAGTTCTGTGTAAATGAAAGTTGTCATGGCAGACACACCCACTGGACGAAGAAAAAAGCCCAATTCTATACCCTCCACCTAAAATGATAGATTTGGTATGTAGCTAGGAAATTCCCCTGACCAAAATCCCACGATTCTTACAGTCATGACAAAGAACCTTGAAGATGTCCCTCTTGGGAATACCGGAAGAACAACGACATTTGACGCGTGTGGCGTAACGGTTATCCGTGCAGGAAATCAAGTTCAAATTCCGGCTTGGTTTGTTGCGTTCATTTTCGCACTAGTTCCCTTCAAGAAGGTATGAACCCATCATTTCTCTCCCCAACTACAGGTTAAATGGTAGGATAGATGGGATTTAGCGAGCCTTGGGTTGAATAGAAGAATGATAACACTAAATTGCAAACCGTGGTGAAAGCAACGGGAAACTACTCCGCTAACTTTCTGATGAAGGTCGAGTAATCATTCGAAACGTTTCGACTTGAAAGCATATTTCAAATCAGTGTAATTCTTAATCTTTGGTATGGCTACTCTTTTTCTGAGCATGCCCATCTATTCAGGCAAATTTGTATTCAAAAACCGGAGCCAACCTGTGGTTTATATTGCAACGAGATGGTCATAGTTACAGTTTAATATGGGCCCCACTAGGGTTAAATACAGTTTTAAATTTAAAATTGTCCTTCTCCTATACTGGTTGCCAAATACAGCTAGATTTACTCTGCTATTTAACCTACAGCTGGTGCTTTGATTTATATCTTTTGGAAGGGTATTTGTGTGAAAGTGAATGCAATATCGACTGGAATTTGGACAGTTTGCCGATTTCTCGTTCTGAGCCTTTAACCACTGCACCATCTGCAAATACATCCATAAATAATAAAAGAGGAATCTGTGGAGAGCCATGATCGCATCTCTCCTGAAGAGATTGATAAAAATTATATTAAAACGTACAAAGAAATATTTAGTAACCTTTTTTTTCTGTTTAAAGCCAAGTTGAAATTAGTGAAGGCTTCTGACTGAAAAATCGATTAAAAATATTGTATAGTTAATTATATACTCGTATCATTTTTTTTTAGAATTCGATTACGCTGTCATAAAGTACGGAAAGTAACAAAATATGTAAATTAAAAAAGAAACTTAAAGTTTGGCTCTCGTCACGTTTCAGACGTGAATAAATATTCACGTTTGAATCCTGAAACATCGCGAAACATTCACCCATCTTTAATATAGTGATATTTTTAATATTCGAAACAATTTTTGCTCTAGATATATTTATTGACAAAATCCAGTCCACCTTGACATACGTTAAACTATTTTTTTTTTCGTATATCAGTAAATGGCTGAAGATATTGAGAATCAGAATATATAAGACGCCTTAGCATGAACATACTTTACCCAGGTTAGAACTGACAGTCCTTCAGAGTGTGACAATTTTATTTCTCCTTAGTGTGTGTGTGTGTGTGTGTGTGTGGGTGTATTTATGTTTGAATTGGCATTAGGTGTCAATCTGTGCCAAATGCAATCGGATATGTCAGTTCAGTCACTAGAAATCACACCAACATCAACAGTCTATTGCATATGACGATTTTGTAATGCCATGTTTTGAATGCCCGACCTGCACTAGGATGTGCAAGTCCAGACCGGGGCCTGACAAGGCATATGAAAGGGCACATTGGAAGCGATGATGATCAAAGTCAACTTCCACCATCCGGAGATCATTTGATATGCCACATATGTGACAAGAAATGCAGATCGATGGCTGGCTTTATGAGCCACTGTCGTTCACACAACCGATGAATGCAGTGTTGTAGATGGACTGAACTTGTCAGTGATGGTCATACTCGCTTTGAGATTCGACAGCCACTATACACCATGTGTGTGTGTGTGTGTGTGTGTGTGTGTGCACATAAACTTTTCTGTTCGTTAATATTTTCTGGTTGGCATTACTGAGGAAAAAAAAAACAAACACCCACTTCCTTTCTAAGCGATGGTTATATCTAAAGAAAACCGTAGAATGGATTGTTTGAAACGCTGTAGTAGACACAACGTGAACTAGATCTATAATCCGAACAATTCTTGGAAAGAGGAGGCTCCTTCCTACCAAGAATTGAATATTAAAAACGAAAAGGCAATCTGTGATTCTTTCTGGTTAGTGACCGTAATTACACAAAGTTCCAACGGCGAAAATCTTCGGAAACATTGGTTCCTGCTCTACAGATTTTCTCTTGAGTATTATTAAACTTTTTCTCCAGGCATCATATCAAACAGACACAAGATTCCCCTTAAGGTTGTGAAGTACCCTCTACCACCCCCAAAAAAAAAAAAAAAAAAAATCAGCAGGCCCACTTTTAGTAAAACATTTCCTATAGGCACAACCTCACCCCGCTGGCACGATATTGCTAAACTACTTCATTAATCATTACCCACTGCAACCCGCTTAATAATTATTTACTAACCTCAGCAGAGACGACAAGCCCACACTCGTGGGACACTCATGACAAACGTATTTACGACACAAGTAGTCCACATGACACGCACACATTGTTTGCGGCTACAGGGTTGAAAAAGAGCTTCCGGTTTAAAACCCAGATATAATAAGCTAATTTGATACGAAGAGTCAAAGCGTGATCCTTTGCTCTGCGGACCTTTGCTTAACCACTGACCTACATCAAAAAATGCCAGGTTTTAAGAATTTTGCCGGCGTAGCATTTTAAGTAACAATGCTAAAACATAAAAGCACAATATAACAAGCGAGCTTCGAGCGGAGGATCAGCCTCGCTTTGATCCATTCATTAGATTTGATCTTGATTTCCAATTACAGCAATTCGCTTTTATTTAGATTGGCACGATCTACCGATACTCATCGATCTATTATCAAAGCTCTCGACGGCCGATAAATTACTCAACAGCGATTCGGAAATGATTCTTTACTTCTTTCTTTTTATCGATCAACGCTCGATTTGAAGGCGATAACATCCGACTTCCAGTTTGATCTTTGTATGATGAACACATACCAGCACTGCAGAACAAGTAGGTCCATCAGCGAGAGATCAACTGCCCGAACCGCTGTAGAGTTGGGAGTCAAAATAATAATAATCCTTGTACGAAAGGGCACTAAGTCAAGTGCAATGGCGCGTTTAACTTTTTCTTTCTTTTAAATCTCTCAGTCTCTAACTGAAGACTTTCAGTGCTTTTTTTTCTGTTGAGAACCAAACAGATTAAGTATTCTTTGTAGAACCTGGCACCATAGTGATTATTTACAATAGCGGGATTCTATAACTTAAAGATAGCGTATTAATCGGACGCTCCAGGCTATTTGTATGTATTTTTTTTCTTTTGGCAAAGTTTAACAAACTTACTCGCAAAAACCAGTGTCAAAAAAAAAAAAAAAATTTCTTTAGAATTTTAATTACATTACATTATATATATATATACATATATACATATATATATATATATATATATGTACATGAAATGTGATTTATACATGTTTTCCCTTGAGAATTGACAAAAAAAAATGTTAATATTTATTAGATTATTTATTTGCAAAATTATAAAAAATAGTTGAACCAACCACAATGAAATGTTTAATATTTACCATACTATAAAGAAATAGCTTTGAAAACATTTTTTTTACTCAAAACTTTTTTAACATGTCTGAACGAGAAAGCCGAAGAATTCAAACGAACACGTTACAACGAGTAAGTGCAATTATAACATTTTTGAAAAATAAATGGATTTTCCGAGCAATTCTTCCATTTGCTCTTGCCATATAAATTCATTAAAATTGGTTACGAACATTTGGTTGTATACTTTTTTTTTTTTAGAGAACTGGCAACAAAAATATTAAACTATTTATTTATTAGACTGTTTACTTATAAGAATAAGTTGATTGGAAAACTTTAACAAACATACTCACAAAAAGAGAATAGAGTAATAGAAAGAAACACTAACCCTTTGAGACACGGGAGGAGGTTTATTAAACTTAACCAATTTATTTTTTTATCATGTCACAATGGCGGCGAAAGGTGGGGGATTGGGCCTCAAGAAAATACCTTTAGGGGTTTACCGGGATGGGGATTCTTTACAAAAAGCAGAGAGCAAAATTACGAATCGGTATTTTATTGAAAAAAATACGAAGACTAAAACCAGTTCCAAAGCAGCTTAAAAGTGCATTTTTCGAACTTTCATTGAAGCAAAATACGCGATGAGTTCCTCAAAGTTTAATTCTCGTTCTAAATCAACACACAACACTCGATCGCGAAAGTTGCCAAGTTGGTAAGGCGGTCTTGAAGCATTGTTGTGCGTTGATAATTCTTTATTCGTTTTAAGTGCATAAATATTTGTCACAAAAAATACAAATAAATAATAGAAAAATAATATTTAACAACCCTACCAGACAGACACGCTTACAGTCTTGTAAGACACGCTAGATCGAGTTTGTTTGTCCCAGCATCTCCCTTTTTCGACCGGGGGTGGGGGAGCCTCAAAATAATCTGTGTGCTGGACCTCAGAGATTCTCTCCCCAGTGCTGTCATGTCATGTCCCTTCAGGACGTGGGTGATCATGATTCTCCAAAAACTCCTTTTTCTTTATTATCTATAAATTGCCATGAATTTTTGAGAAAGATACCGGAGTGACATCCCGTTGCTTTGTCCATGGCTTTAAATTTAGATTGATTACGGCCATATCACGTTGAAACGCTGTTTCCCGTAGAATCACCGAAGTTAAGCAACGCCGAGCCTGGTCAATTCCTAGATGGGTGACCGCTTGGAAACACCAGGTACTGTAAGCATGTATATGGAGGCTCGGAATTGTTAATCGAAGAGCCGATTTCCAATTCCCGTTGGGTTCGTTTTTATTCACTTACGTGAAAATACCATTGGGAAAGTTATGAATCCACCACCTCTCCCTCCAGCTATGGGTTAATTAGTAAGACTTGCATCACTAAACCATTATTAAGTAAAAAAAAAAATTCTTACAATCTGAAGATATTTTCTGGCTTTAAATAACCTGCAAATGGTTGGTAAGGCGTAGAAAACGTATCAATCAAATATAAATTTAAATAGTCCTTATAGACTAGCTGCCATTCACGGTTATAGAGCCCAGTTTACTCTACTATTTAACCCATAGCTGAGGGATGGGAGAAAAGTTGAACTCGTGGCTTTTCTAAAGCATTAATACGAAATTGACTAAGCTGGAGATTGAAATCGACTCGCTTTTTCCACTTTCTGCATCGATATATATACTCTTTAAAGAAAAAATAAGTTTCTGCTGATATATCAATCAATTCAGCTGCAATTCGTGAGAAAAATAAACAGGTTTTCCTTGTAGGATATTTAACTTTTTTTTTCCATGGATCGACTGAAACTTTTTTTTTTTTTAAAAAAAAAGAATAGTAAATATATACTATGGGTGTACGGTCAGTGTAACTGTTATCAACTTAAAATCAGCAATCTGAGTTCAAATTCCGATCGAGTCTGTTGCGTTCAATTACGCATTAATGCCGTTGGGAAAGAAATGAACCCAACACTTCTTCCTCTTCCAAAGCTATGGTTTAAGTAGCAGGGTAGACTGAACTAACTAGCCCTAAATAGAACCCAGTCTTGGAGAAAAAAAATTCTAAAATTTAAGCCATTGAGAAGACAACGGGAGACCACTTCACTATTTCACCACCAAAAGTCATGACAGTTAATAAAGAAATAAACAAAAAATAATAATAATTAAAACGTTGTGAGCGATGATATATATATCCTAATCCTATATATTCCTATATCCTGAAGGAAGAAATCGGAAAAAAAAATTCTTGCATTTCATAACCCCCCTCTCTATCCCCCATTTTCCCCACTGAGTAACGATATTTCATCATGAAAACTTGACTAATTATGGCAAATTCAACACAGACCGAGAAAAAGTAAAATTTATGGTGACAATTTAGAATGCAATTATTAAAAGAAAAGTTAACTCCCCTTAGCAACATTCGATTTATAGGATGCAAGTTGTTTTTTGTTTTTTTGAGATTTTTTATAGGAAAAATAATGCTTCTTATAAGCAGCAAAACAATGTGTGTGTGTGTGTGTGTGCATAAAATGGAATATGTGAATATCACTTGTATCTTGAAAAGCCTTAAGTGTTAATATTGTGTCAAAACAAAAATGAAAACGCTCGCGTAAAGCATCGAAACTTTAACACTTAAAAGAGAAAAAGCTCAACTGCTTTTCATAGATTACATATTTTACAACATTGTCGTATATTTCAAATCAGTAATTCACACACATATATATATATATATATATATATATATATATATATATATATATATATATATATGTGCATCCAAATGAGAGAAAGAACAGATAGAGTAAAATCCATTACTTTTTTTAAAAAGTGCTCAATACAAAGTAGAGCAAATATATTATTATATTTTTATTATAAGAGATTATAATAAAAACATTTTTAAATCGCTACTCGAAAGCTATCATGTTTCAATACTATGATTGTACTTCTTCAGGCGATGGAAAGTAGCTGGTGATAAAATGATTTTTAAGGAAATTTAAAAACAAATTGTTACCTCTTTTCCGAAAGTTAAAGGGAGGGGACATAAGGTCAGAATTAAAAATAGACTTGTGGGTATGACTTGATTAACCAATTAAATGTCAGGTCTAATTTAATTGGTTAATCAAGACATATCCATTTTTTGCAGTTTACGATTTTATTAACGGTTGTGGTGAATTTTTACGTGTTCCTCCTGCTTGCCGTGCAAATGAGCATGCGCAAAACTTAGCTTGATAAAATAAACAAAATTCTTAGTCCGAGAAATACTGATATTTCTTTTTTTTAGTTTGATAAGTCTGCTGTAAAATGGATTTTTTTCTTTACATTTTCGGAAAAATGTTATAAAATATCATAAAATGAAATGAATGCTAATTTAGACAAAGGAAAATTTAAACTTTGGCTTCTGACGAGAAAAAAATACATTTTTTTTTATTTAGTTTATTACATATTATTTAATCCCAATGAGTAAAATAAATTACAATATTATTCATTTTTCTATGATTTTTTTTCCGATTTAGAAGCTGAAGTTTTGACTTATTTCCCCTCACATAACTGTATCTTATGACTATTTTTCCGGACATGTCGCACGCTTTGAATTTTACTAGTCACTAAAAGATTAAATCAGTTCGTATTGAATCCAAGCGTCGGTGCCAAAATGAACAACGCCTTCCGTGGAGTCATTCTCTGCAACTTCGTTTCGCAGGCTAGCGTTATGAGTTTAATTTTAATCTGGTACACCACTAATGTCTATTTGTGCCAGTCTAGACTACTCTCCCGATCGACTGAGTTGACCGATTCTGGTGGTCAATACTTGACACCTAGCTAAAGATCTCTAGCGAAGAACGTTTTTTTCAGTAGGTAGTCCTTTCACACGTGGATGTTTGGCGCAATATAATCTTCCTATTTTACGTTTATGCGTTTAGATTTGTACCATAATAAGCTAAGTTTAATAAACATATACAACGTAAGTAAATTTTGGGTGATTGATTTTACGATATGTCTACAATTGGATTATTGAAATAATTTAAAAAAGAAATATTTGACTCATTTGATTCGAGAATAGGGAATATTGGTCGTTTAAATTTGGCATTTACTTTTATCTGTGTATGTATTTGTGTGTGTGTGTGTGGGGGGGTTACCTCTCTACAGTCAAGATATCTTAAGACTCGACAACAGAGCAGAAAATATAAAGTTTTGGATGGTGTTATTTTTGTGGGTACGTATGTTTGAATAGACGTCCTGTGTTCTTATATTTATTTTAAGCAGTGGGAATTACATCCGTCAGTCTACACATTCGAGAGACAATAAAATATAATTTTTTTAACAAGTCTTTCGAATGCACAAGCTGGTAGTCTTAATTTACACTGTTAAAAATGGCGGGGGTCTACATATATATCCACAAAAATAACGTTTTGAGTAATGAAAAATAATGTCGGATTAAGCATGAAATATATCGATTTCTTACAGATAACAGACAAATAAATAAAGTATTGACACGAGAAGTTTCATATTTTTAATGCGTTTGACACTTTCACTGTGGCATTATGGCACTGTAGTCTGGATGTTCTGACCGATTTTTGGAAAAAATCGGAACTTGCCATTTACTGGGAATAAATGACTACAAGAACGATGACGGCGATTTCTCATGGACTCATTCGACCGAATATTTTGCAGTAACGAATAAGATGAACGACACTCTCCCAACACACTAGAAATGTGTCACAAAACAGGTTGTTAAGATCAAATTCCCCAAGGAAGGCGTCATAGTTTTTGTTAACCCAAATACTTTACAAAAAATACAGCCCCTTCCTTGATGAATTTCATCTTAACATCAAGAAACTGATTAGAGAACTAGAAAGGATTATTCTAAAAAATAGACATAATATGTCTATATTATTCATTATATACATATGTTGACAGTAGGCGGTGTCAGTTTAATAAAGACGTATAAGTATGTTCACAGCAATGGACGTGTTAAGTAACCATTTATCTTCCTCTCCCAGCTACCGGTTAAATAACAGAGAAAACTAAACTCTCTAGCCCTGTATAGGAGAAGGACAATTCTGAATTCAACATACTTGAACTTTAACAAAAGGCTGGCTCAGTATAGTTGCAATATTAAATACATGTTAGCTCTGTGGTTGTTCAGGAAACAAAAGTGTCTTAGCAGACGACAGATTTGGAAACGAGCAGCCATGTTGAAGATTTATAACCTTGTTGAAAATTATAAATCACACTGATTTTCTATGTGCTTTCGTGTTGAAACAAACTTAGGATGATTAGCAATTGAAGCGTAAAATTATTAAAAATTCTGAGAATATTTCCTAAAAGACATTTGAAGTGGTGTGCGCTAAGGACGAATAAATTGCAAAGAATTTTTCATTTTGGGACGGTTAAGACTGTTAGACTTACTCTGGCATTTTTTTTTTTTATTATTAACGCGTGATCCCAAGAGAAAAGTACATTAGTACGCCTTAATTGTATAAAAACAAAAGAAAATATTTGAGTGGGTGTTGAATAAAGTATATCTAGTTTATTTATAATTACATTGGTTTTCATTTTTAAAATGACCTCCTGGACCCACATGATTATAAAAGCACTAAGTTAGTATCATTAAATCCGTTTAGTAAAAAGAAAAAGCGGTTAGTAAAAACAATGAATTTAAAAGTCTAAGTCTGTGTTGTCAAGTACGAAAAAAATACTTTGTTTCATTTTTATGATAAACTTCCTTTTCTACCAAACAAGAAGTAAATTAGAACTTAATAAAGACTGACATATTTACTATATTTTTTAAAGGTTATGAAGAAATTATTTTAAATTATTATTTTGAAAATTATTTTAAATTAAATTTAAATTTTAATTATTATTCTATGATTCTGTTACGATTACAACTGGTTCACTTATAAAAAAAAAATGACAATTTTATTTTTGTTGGTGGGTGGGGCGATAATTTTTGTAACTAAACATTCTTTCGATCACGACAATTGTCAGAATCAAAAACAATTATTGATTTGTTAAAGATACCGTATCAAACCGATTCCTGTTTTTTTTTTTAAGAGTTATTGGACTTAACTGTTTTGCGTACGAAAACGGATTCTTTTTTATTTGTCGAGTTGCTTTTACGGCTTAAACTTTGAGGTTATTTAAAGCCAAAACCTATTTTTAGATTGTAAGAATTATGTTTCGATAATGATTTTCTGATACAAGTCTTATTAATTAACCTATAGCGGGGAGGAGA